CCATCTTGGTCTTCCACATAGATGACAGGGAACAAATACTTGATCAGTCCATTTAAAAAAATGTTAATGGATCTAAAGGATGACATAGCTCCAACACAATAGTAACCAGGTACTTCAACACCCCACATTCATCAATGAGCAGATCAAATAGACAGAAAATCAGCAAAGAAACAACAGAGCTAATAGCCACTATGGACCAAATGGACCTAACTGATATCTACAGAACTTTTCATCTCACAGTTGCAGAATACACACCCTTTTCACAGTGCATGGAATTTTTCTCTAGGATAGACCATTTACTAGGCCATAAAGCAAGTCTCAGCAAGTTCAAAAAAATCAAAATCAAGGCCGGTGCTGCGGCTCAATAGGCTAATCCTCCGCCTTGCGGCGCCAGCACACCGGGTTCTAGTCCCGGTCGGGGCGCTGGATTCTGTCCTGGTTGCCCCTCTTCCAGGCAAGCTCTCTGCTGGACCAGGGAGTGCAGTGGAGGATGGCCCAAGTCCTTGGGTGCTGCACCCCATGGGAGACCAGGAGAAGCACCTGGCTCCTGCCATCACATCAGCGTGGTCCGCCAGCCGCAGCGTGCCGGCCGCGGCGGTCATTGGAGGGTGAACCAACGGCAAAAGGAAGACCTTTCTCTCTGTCTCTCTCTCTCACTGTCCACTCTGCCTGTCAAAAAATAAAAAAAAAAAAATCCAAGAAAAAAATCAAAATCATGCTTTGCATCTTCACCAACCACAATGAAATGAAGCTGGAAATTAATAATTCCAGAGTCATGCAAACACATGGAGACTGAACAACATGCTCCTGAAAGAACTGTGGGTCCTAGAAAAAATAAGAATAGAAGTTAAAAAGTTTCTGGAAACAAGTGAAGATGACAACATATCATATCAAAACATATGGGATACAGCAAAAGCAGTGTTAAAAAGGAAATTTACAGCAATTGATGTCTACATGAAAAAAGCTGGAAAGATCCCAAATAAATGAACTATCAATTCATCTCAAGGACCTAGAAAAACAAAACTCCAAACTAGAAGGAGGAAATAATTAAAATTAGAGAAGATTTAAACAAATTGAAACAAAAAAAGTTCAGTTAAATTAAGAGTTGTTTTTTAAGAGTTTTCAAAAGCTGTTTTCAGAGATTTATATATTCATTTGAAAGTCAGAGTTGCAGAAAGGCAGAGGGAGAAAGAGAGAAGGAGAACCATCTGCTGATTCACCCCCCCCCCCCCACCACCAAATGGCTGTGACAGCTGATGCTGAGCTGATCCAAAGCCAGGAACCAAGAGCTTTTTCTGGGTCTCCCATGTAGGTGCAAGGCCCAAGTACTAGTGCCTCTTCTGCACATTAACAGGGAGCTGGATTGGAAGTGGGACAATCAGGACTTGAACCCACTAGGTTGCCGGCATTATAGGCGATTTAATTTGCCTGCTACACAAAAAATACACAAAATTGGTATACCATTGGCCCAACTAGCAAAAAAAGAGAGAGAGAGAGAACCCAAATCAGTAAAATCAGAGATGAAAAAGGAAATATATTAACAGATACCACTGAAATAAAAAAAAAGAATAATCAGAAATTACTACAAAGAGCTACATGCCAACAAATTGGGAAACCTGGAAGAAATGGGTAGATTCCTGGACACACACAATCTACCAAAATTGAGTCATGAAGACATAGAAAACCTAAACAGTTCAATAACCAAGACAGAGATGGAATCAGTAATAAAGACTCTCCCAAAAAAAAAAAAAAAGAAAAGCCTAGGACTGGACAGCTTCACTACTGAATTCTACCAGACATTAAAAAAACTAATTCCTATTCTTCTTAAGCTATTCAAACACTTGAATGAGAGGGAATCCTCTTAAACTCCTTTTATGAAGCCTGCATCAACTTAATTCCTATATCAGTAAAAGATACAACAGAGAAAGAGAACTATAAACCAATTTCCCTGATGAACATAGATCCAAAAATCCTCAAAAAATATTAGATAATCAAATCCAGCAACATATCAGAAAGATCATTCACCCAGACCAAGTGGCATTTAAATGGTTCAATATTCATGAATCAATAAATATGATACATCACATTAACAAACTGAGCAACACCATACAGTTATCTCAATAGATGCAAAGAACATATTTGATAAAATATAACATCTTTCATGAAGAAAACCTTTAGCAAATTGGGCATAGATGGAACATTCATCAACATAATCAAGACAATTTATGACAAACTCATGGTCAGCATCCTTGAATGGGAAAAAGCTTGATACATTCCCCTTAAGATCCAGAACCAGAGAAGGATGCCCACTCTCATCATTGCTATTCAATATAGTCCTGGAAGTTTTAGCCAGAGCCATTAGGCAAGAAAAAGAAATCAAAGATACAAAAAGGAAAGGAGGAAGTCAAGTTATTCCTATTTGTGATGATAAGATTTTATATTTAGGGAATTCAAAAGATTCCATGAAGAGATGACTGGAACTCATAAAATAGGTTGGTAAAGTGGCAGGATGTAAAATCAACATACAAAAATAAATAACCTTTGTGTACAGACAATGTCATGGCTGAGAAAGACCTTCTAAGATCATTCCCATTCACAAAAGCAACTAAAGATTAATAACCTTGGAATAAATTTAACCAATGATGTCAAAGGTCTCTAGTATGAAAGTTACGAAATATTAAAGAAATAAGTAGAAGAAGACATAAATAAATGGAAAGATGTTTCATGTTCATGGATTTGAAGAATCAATATAATCAAAATCTCCATATTACTGAAAGTAATTACAAATTGAATGTGATACCAATCAAGATACAAATGACATTCTTCTCAGATCTAAAAAATGATGCTAAAACCCATATGGAAATACAAGAGTCCCTGAATATATAAATGAATCTATGCAACAAAAATAAAACCAAAGGCATCACACTACCAGATTTCAAGATATACTACAGGGCAGTTGTCAACAAAATAGCGTGGTACTGGCACAAAAACAGAGATGTAGACTAATGAAACAGAATAAAAAGTCCATAAATAAATCTATACACCTACAATCAACTTATCTTTGCCAAAGAAGCTAAAATAAATCTTTGGAACAAGGGAAGTCTCCTCAAAACTGGAAAACTCTCACCCTATCCATATGGTAGACAACGGAAAATTAAGTTCTGAAAAGAAACCAAAGATGTGGATAGACTATCACTCCATTAAGTGTTTATGGGAATTTATGAGCAAAAATACTATCAGTTCAGCTGAAGAGGATAGAGATGAGGTGAAATTGGTTTGATTCCTTGAGTTGATGGAAAAGGAATATGCCTGTGAACCAATTTTATTATTTTTTTCAAGAAGAGGGAAAATACTTTGAATTTTTATTCAATGAAATCTCAACTCAGAAGAGATAGATACAGGTGTGAGACTTCACCTAGAACTGTGAGATAAGAGTGCTTATTCAGTCAGAAGGCAAGACATGGATCCTAAAAAGGGTTTATTCTTAAACTTGACAATCTAGGGGAATTTTCCTTGCTAAGTTTGGACTTGGACCAAAAGCATTTTTCTTTCTTTTCATTTCTCCCTTTTGTAATGTAAATTTCAATCCTGTTCCTATCCTGCAATTGTATTTTAGAAGCTCATAACTTGTCTGTCTGTTTTCATAAGTATATAGTTGAAGAGCAGTTTTATCTCAGGATTAATTTTACCCCAAGTCTCATTCATATCTGCCTTAGAAGAGAGCTTGGACTTCAGAGTTGGTTAAAAAATAAGTTAAGATCCTTGAGTCTCCAGGGATGGAACGAACCTATTTTGTGTATGAGAAGAAAAGGGAACATACATTTGGGGTTCAAAGCTGGAAAGCTATGGACTGAACTGTGTCTCAAAAAACTTAGATATCGAAGACCTGTCTTAGACTGTTCAAGCTGCTGTAATAATATCTTAAATTGGATAGATTACAAACTACAGAAATTAATCCATCACATTTCTGGAGAATGGGAAATCCAAGATAAAAGCATCAACAGATGTGGTATTTGATGAGGGGCATTTCCCCATTCATTAATAGCTCTCTCTTTCCCATATGTCCTTACATCATGGGAGGAGCAAGGAGTCTCTCTGGAATTGCTTTTAAAAGTACACTATTCTCATTCATGATGATTCTGCTCTCATGACTTTATTATCTCTCAAAATTTTCACCCCTAAATACTATCAGAGATCAATTTTCTTTTCTTTTTTCTTTTTTTCTTTTTTTATTTTATCTTATTTATTTTTTTTTTTTGACAGGCAGAGTGGACAGTGGGAGATAGAGACAGAGAGAAAGGTCTTCCTTTGCCGTTGGTTCACCTTCCAATGGCCGCCGCGGCCGGTGCGCTGCGGTCGGACACCGCACTGATCCATTGGTAGGAGCCAGGTACTTATCCTGGTCTCCCATAGGGTGCAGGGCCCAAGCATTTGGGCCATCCTCCACTGCACTCGGGGCCACAGCAGAGAGCCGGCCTGGAAGAGGGGCAACAGGGGCAGAATCCGGCACCCCGATCAGGATTAGAACCCCGTGTGCTGGCACTGCAAGGCAGAGGATTAGCCTATTGAGCCACGATGCCGGCCGATCAATTTTCAACACATGAATTTTGAGAAAACACATTCAATCTATAAGAAACTTCAATTTAACTTGGTACTTGGAGATATGGTCTTTGGGAGATAATTGGATTTAAATGAGAATAGAGCTTTCTTTATGTTGTTAGGATCTTTATAGAAAGAGGTACTATATTATCTCTCTCCGTTCATCCCTCTCTCTCTCTCTCTCTCTCTCGCTCTCGCTCTCGCTCTCCCCCTGGCCTTTCTACAATGTGAGGACAAAGCATAAAGGCTTCTCTGACAAGAACCCAACAATGTTGCCACCCTCATCTCAGACATCTAACTTGTTACCCAATCCATAGTATTTTGTTACAAAAGCTCCAGTAGACTTAGATATGGTAACAGAAAATTAAGATTAAAATTAAGTATTCTCCAGGTCTCCTACCTCTGTGCTGTGTGGAGGCGGTGTAGGGTCCGAGGCGGGCGGGGCAGGATGATCACGGACGTGCAGCTCGCCATCTTCGCCAACATGCTGGGCGTGTCGCTCTTCCTGCTTGTGGCTCTCTATCACTACGTGGCCGTCAACAACCCCAAGAAGCAAGAATGAAAGTGGCGCTTTCTCCACCCTCAGGGCTCCAGGACATAGTCTGAGGCCAGATGGAGGGTGTGAGGGGCCTCCACACTTCATCCCTCTGCCCATCACAACATGCAAAGCAACTACACCTGGAGTTTTCCAAACAACTTTTATTTCCTCAAAGTCTTCCTTAACCCTATGGAACAAGAAGCTGCCACTGACTAGGGCCCAGTGTTAGGGGCTGCTTTCCCCCCACTTCTCCCCAGTGCCCCTCCAATATAAAAATATAGTTATATTTTTTGTGGTCCCCCCAAAAAAATAAAATATTCTTAGAGATCAATATTAAAACATTAAATAAAATCCTAGAATCAAATCTTAAATGTGATTAATAAATTTGGTGCAAAAATACTGCACAAGTTGTTATATGATAATATTGCATAAAATTTCACTCCCACTTTATTGAGATACCATTTTTATAATAGTTTAGACACTTAGATTCCATGTACACAATGTATATAGCATATATAACCTATATACTTCAAATTGCCCCAGGGGAGGGCCTTGTGACATAGCATCCTGTTTCTGGGGACACCCACATCCCATTTGGGAGTGCTTAGTTCAATCCTGTCCACTATATACTTCCCTTCCAGATTCTTACTAATATACTTGGAAAGCAGTAGATGACGGCCCATGTGGGGCACCCAAATGGAGCATCTGGTTTTGGCTTGGCCATGTCCTGGCTCTTACAGGTATTCAGGCAGTGTACCAGTGGGTCAAAAGTCTCTCTTTTTCTGTCTGTCTCTCAATTTGCCTTTCAAATAAATTAAATCTTTAAAAATAATGAAACTGTGAGTATTTAAAACAAAACAAAACAATGTCCCAACAGGAATTGACAACTGTCAATTTAACTATAGATTTGTCATCTTTTGATGTATCTCTTTTTGTATCTTACTCATAGAGGATAAATTTAAGATATTTTCATATTTATTACAATATTAAATTTGTAAATTACCTTATAATTTATATATTTCATAATTTAATTATAATTAAATGATCAAATTTTTTTAAAAAAATTACTTATTTGAAAAACAGAGAGAAGGAGGAGGAGGAGAGAGAGAGAGAGAGAGAGAATGAATGAGTCTGGGAGAGAGTGCTCTTATCCATTTGGTCACTTTCTAAATGTCAGCAACACCAAGCTTTGACTAGGCTAAAGCCAGGATCTGTGACCTCAATCCAGGTCTCTCACATGGGTGACAAGAAAGCAATCACTTGAGTTATCACTGCGCTTCCCAGGGTCTGCATTAGTCAGAAACTGGTCAGGAGCCAGGGCCTGGTATGGAGCCCTGGTACTCTGATGTTGGATGTGGTATGGCACACAGGCACCTTAACCAACTTCTTAACTGCAAGCCCAAATGTGTGTTCCAATCAAATTATTTAAGTAAGTAAATCGTCAGTTAAAAAAAAAAAAAGTAATTCCAGCTGACCATGCATTGTTTTTCCAGCTTTAAATCTGGAGTTATAAGTCCTGGGATCTTCAAGGAGGCTGCCTTCTCAGGCTCTGGATGTAGCTTCTTATCCTTATTGTCATGACCATGATGGGAATCGTTCAGCCCTTTATGATTTTTTAACTTAGAGGTTCAATAACTCATCCATTCACAAGTTTTTCATCTGTAGACCTTTCTCCACTTAAAAATGTGCATGAGAGGGAAGTAGGGAAAACGTGATAAAATTCCCTTAATTATTGGAAGGAGATTCAGCTGCCTTTGAAAGATTGACAGAGTTCAAAATGACCACAAAGTAGGCCTTCAAACCGTAAGTAATGCTCTCACCCAGAAATCATGTTTCTAAATATTTTAACTATCTGGAGGGAGTGCTTCTCGGGAGTGCTTCTCTCTCAGAAAGATAAATTACAACATTTCTTTTAAAATCAACTATATTATATAGATACATTAACATGAAAAATTGATATCCAATTTATACATAATTTGTTCTGTCTTTTGTTACTAATTAAGCATGATGATCAGTATTAATGTGTTACAGGTAAAGGTCCCTCAAAGGTCACCTTTGTATCCTACCATAGAGATATTGCATGTGTGCAACCCTGGACAGGTAGCGGTAGTTTATATGTATCATTTCCTCAGCAAAGGATACATAAGTGAATTACAATATTCAGAGGGGGGACAAAATGCATACATGGAAGCATAGAGACAGAGAGAGATGAGAAAGATGGAGAAATGTTCAATGAGCACCTGGTTTGCATTCCAGCTGCTCTATTTGTAACAGATTATCAACACCATAAACCTATGAGACATTAGATGCAAAATTAATACCAATGACTCAAATGGTTTGTATTTGTACAAATAACGCTAATGCAAGTACAAATAAGCATATATCTTTGTATAAATAACCCTAATGACACATTGCTTAAAGCAGTGGGAAATATAACACAATAAATTTCCTTGTGGCAATATGTGTTTTTCAATTGAGATAACTATTCTTTATTAAGAAACAATTGTATGTGACCCAGCCTGTAGGGTAATTGCAACAACATTTTATGCATAATTTGTATACATTTTCTCTATTACATGATATCCTTCTTTTGAAGCTTTGGTAGTTTAACTGGAAGGACCTTAGAATTGGAAATGGAAATCTAAGGTTTTGAGTTGCTGTTCTCATATTTGCCTTAGGGAAAGTTGGTCAAATCCAGTTTCCTCATTTCTGAAATTTTCTGTAGTGCATAAACAATGTAATGTAAGTGAGATTCTTATAGACTGTGAAGTGCAATTCAAATATCAATTTTTTCATCATGTCCTCAAAGAACTGAGGAAAACTTACAATTTTGCAACAGATTTTTAATTGATAAACTGTAAACTTGATTACAGTTTGTGCTACCTTTGGCCATTCTGTGTCTTTTGTTTGTTTTCCTATCATGGTGGGGAGATGGGGACCAAAATCTGACATTTTTCACATGACCATTACATTTAACAGGTAAAACATAATTTCTAAAAATAAAAGTTATAATTGTTTTAGGTGATTGACTCCTTGCTTTTTACAGTACAGTATGTCTCCATTTGAATTTGATATGGTAAAAGTGTTACTGCTCTTAATATATTATTTTGTTTCTGAAATGAAACTGAACAAGGACACAAAAGCTGAATTTGTAATTAAAAGAAGGGAAGAAGATTTAAATCTTGACATTGAAACTATTAGTAGGAAAAATATCTTACAAAACAGTAACAAAATGATATTGCATTTCACTGTGTTGATCGCTGTTTTTAATGTCGACGTATCTAAGGACAGAAACAAAATTTAGAAACAACAGCATACATGCACATGCACATTTTATGGACTTTAAGGAGGAAAAACAATCCTAAAACAGATGTTTCTTTTCTCACTTTCGAACGAATATTTTATTGAAATTCTTCACACTAGACTTTACTAATTAATCTGGAAAAGGGAGTGACGGGTGCTGCTGATGCTAATCGCAGGAAACAAACACCAAACTGCGGTCCATTTTTCCCATCTCTGTTTGACAGCAGCATCTGGCTCCATGGCAGGCTCTGTCAACCTTTGCGTTGACATCCAAAGAGCTGCCTCAGGTTTGTCAGTTTCCTGGGATGTCGCTGTTGGGCTGGGGCTTACCGCAATCATTTTATTTTGTCGTTGTTCACACTGGGTCTTGAAAAAAGTCTTCCTTCTGTTTCTGCAATCATTGAAGTATTACAGTCAAAGCCAACCCTACAAAGTTTTTCTTTAATCCTGAAATGTCTGTAAAGGTGCTCTATTTTTTTAAGCTTGAATTTCATGTTAGATATACTTTGAATTTTAGCCTGGAAGCAATGTCCAAATGAAAGAGAGTCAAATGCTTCTAAAGCAAAGCAGGAAGTTATTTAGAAGGTCATAGGAATATAATGAGCCCACCAACATAAAACCAAAGCAAGGAAGTTTAGAAGGGAGGCAGTGATCTTCAACTGAATCTTATTACAGGATTGCTTCCAGAAGAAAGGACAACCGTGAAGTCAAGTCAGATGAAACTAATCAAAAATTAAAAATCTAAGGGCCTAGTGGTTAAGATGCTCATGCCCAGTTTCTGAATAGCTGGGTTCGAGTATGGCCTCTGGCTCCTGACTTCACTTCCTGCTAATGCATATCACAGAAGGCAGCAGTCAATGAATGGCTCCAGTGAACGGGTCCCTGATGGACCTGGATTGAATTCCTGGCTCCTGTCTTTGGTAATGGCCTTATCCTAGCTGTTGTGGGCATTTGAGAAATAAACCACCAGCCATGGGCTTTTTGTCACTTTGATCTCAAATTAAAATAATAATAATTAACAATCTGGTAGAGAGGACTAATGGAAACATACAAGGAATTCCTCCTTGCAATTTCAACATTTAAAAGTTGTAATTAAATTTTTTGTAATCTTGGAATTCCAGAATGATTTCCAGGGAAACACTGTGTGTGGCAAATCACACTATAAGTCATGAGTAGCAGGCCAGCGCTGCAGCTCACTAGGCTAATCCTCCGCCTGAGGTGCCGGCACCCCGGGTTCTAGTCTGGTTGGGGCACCGGATTCTGTCCCGGTTGCTCCTCTTCCAGTCCAGCTCTCTGCTGTGGCCTGGGAAGGCAGTGGAGGATGGCCCAAGTGCTTGGGCCCTGCACCTGCATGGGAGACCAAGAGGAAGCACCTGGCTCCTGACTTCGGATCGGCGCAGCGCGCCGGCCATAGCAGCCATTTGGGGGGTAAACCAACAGAAGGAAGACCTTTCTCTCTGTCTCTCTCTCTCCCTAACTCTGCCTGTCCGAAAAAAAAAAAAAAAAAAAAAGACATGAGTAGCAATCAGACAAGAATGTTGACTTTGTTACATAATTTATATCATATATTTAATTCACATGAATGACTTAATGATTAGATTTCTGCTACTTCTTTCTGGTATGAAACAATTGCATGACTAAAAGGGTAATTTGTTAGTAACTAATTCCAAAATTTAGAAATAGTTTGTAAAAGAGATTGTTTTTGTGTTTTTAGTATTAAATTGCATACATTTCATGTCATAAGATATTCAAATTGTATTGAAAGACATAAGGAATACACTCAATTTCTTTCCTTTACATAATCCCCTTTTCTACTTTAACTGCTAAATAATATTCCACGTTAAAAACATCCTGATATATATGTAATATGCTGTTCTCCTTTAGATAGTTATTTGGATAATTTCCATTATTTCATATTTATGAGAAAATTCCACAGTGCATTTCCTATTTAAATTATTGTGTACTTGTGAGAATATTTATAAG